GGGGATACAAGGGGGTTAAAAAGACGTCCTTCAATATTACCCCTCCTACACTCCATGTTGTGGGAAAAATGCGTTTTCTCGGTGAACCACATAACTGGTTGCTAGGAACTGGTACTACTACTGAATCGGGAAGGAACCTAGGGATTTTTGGGAAAGTTTGGACTATTTAAAATAATAAAAAAACTTTTAAAATTTCCCTTAAAACAAAAAATTTTGCAGTGAAAATTCAAACGAAGGAAAATTTTTGATTGCTGGGGAATTTTGGTGTCACAAGTCATATAGAAAAGTAATGCAAAATTTGATTTGCACATTTTTTTTTTTTTTCCAGAAAAGAACCGCGGGATCTTTTTGCCCGGGCTGATTTTGTAATAGCCAAATTTCGGGATCCTTATGGTTTTTAAACCCCTTTAAAAACTGCCAGAAAAATTTACGTTCACATGTGTAGTGCTCCAAAAGTAATCACGTTTTTTTACATTTTCAAATATAAAAAAAAAAATCAAAGTTTTTTTCACTTTTCAAATGTAAAAAAAAAAAAAAAGATTACGTTTTTTTTTACATGTTTTCAAAGTTGAAAAAAACAATCTACTCTGTTGGACATTTAAAGGGGTTAATAATAAATATAAAAAAACTGATTATTGCAAAATGTTAAATTAGGAAATGGGACAAACCATAGCATATTTCAAGTGTGACAGAATGAATGCCCCCTTTTTTTTCCCCCCCAAAATTCTCTCCTGAAACTTGGGGAAAGATATGAAAATTGCTAGTGAAGCCGATCCTGTACTGGTGTCTTGGGCATCCACCCAGTCTGGGGATTTTAAGATTGACAACTTCTCTATCACTTTCCAATCAGAGTGCTTCAAGACACCAATTAGATTAAATTTTGGCCCCACGGTGAGTCCTTGAAAATCTTTCTTTCTTTCCCACCACCCATCCCCCTGAGGGTGGGGGGCCAAAAGGAAAACGAAAGTTTCGCCTTTTAAATTTAGTAATATTCAGAAAAGGTTACTACCCCCTTCTCCGGCATTTTTAAAATACCTCTTACACACGCATGGGTAACAGAGGAAGGATTCGTTCCTTTCCCCATGGGGGAGTCCTTGGAAATGCTTACTAAATTATTTTAATTTATAGAGATGAGTTACTTTTTTCTGATGTACTGTGCTTATGGATATTCAAAAGAAAATTTGCAAGGGTTAGGGGAAATTTGGGGGAGTGTGTGTAAAGGAAAAGTGAAAGTGAACTAAAAAAGAGTAAGGTGATGGGGGCATAAAATATCACATAAAGAAAAATTACAGTGCCTGCACTCAAAGGAGGGGTTTAATGTGCAGTTTAAAAACTGTGTGTAAAGCACCCTTCTGGCAAGACAGTTGGAAGGAGTGATGGTAAAAGTTTTTTTTTTTTCGGGCCACCCTCCCTTTGTGGAATTGGCCGTGTGTAATAAAAAAAAAAAAGGGATATCACTTTGGAGGGGGGATTTTGAAAGAAAAAATGCTTTCAATATTTGAGAGTGTCTTGTCAGCGGTGGGTTTATGAAGGATGGGGTTAACCATAGAATTGGAAGGAAAAAAGGTGAGGGGTGCTTGGGGTGTCTGTGGAGATAAAAAAAAAGTTATCCGTGGGGGGCAAGGGGGGAATGCATGAAAGTTAGTGGTACCAACATTTTGGGGTTTGAAGCTTGGGTTGAAAATGCACAGTGAGGAGGCAGGAGATGTCCTGTCTAAGGGAAATGGTGTGTAATAGATGAAGAATTCAGAGGCGGAAATTAGGAGGTGTGGAGTTACTAAAAGATTATCAAGGGCGGGAAAGGGGTTGTTGGGGGGTTTTGGTATTTAAGAGAATGGATCAAAGTAGAAGACTTACAGATGTGATGTGCCACGGGGGCTTGAGGTCTTGGGAGACCAATTTTAAACCCAAATTATATGGTCACCTTGCCTTGGCAAATGTCTTCAGCCACGCCCACGTCTGAGGTCTTTTGTTCTTAAAGGCGTCAGCCCCTGGGCCGGGTCCGTCCCGGGGTTGCGGGGGGTGTTGGACCACGTATAACCCAAGGAACAGCTGAGAAAGGGATTCTGCGGACACTCCCCCTGGGGCAAGCTCCGACAGAGACTTCGAGGGAGCTGTTGGGGGGCAGGGTTCGGGAGAAGCTGCTGAAGTCCTGGAGGAGACTTTTGGGCCTTTTGGCAGAGTATGGCTTGGCGAGTATTCGTGCGTGGGTTTTGGGGATGTGTTATTTCCCGTGTGAATGCCCTCTGAACTATATTTAAAGTTATTTTCATTTTGGTCAAGTTGATTGTATTCCCTGCTCAGCTTAACATCCATCCCTTTTAAATTTAAACCCAATAATGTTCCCCCTTTTCCCAAATATATTTGTAAAAGGGACTTAAAAATAAACTGTGTTTGAGCAAATATAAAAACCTGTCCCCGTTATTTTGCTATTTTATTCATTATTTTATTTCATGTAGTAAAGGGGGGATAGGTTGGAGTAGTGGGTAGAAAATGAAGGTGAAGTTGTATCACCTGACCTACTTCCCTACCTCTCACCCCACCCCCTTCCTCCTCTCGCCTGTCCCTCCCATAACCCCCTCCTTTACCCCCATTTTCCCTATTAAAAAAAAGTAATTTTTAAAAAAAATTTTACGATTTACTTTCTTTTTGAAATAAAGAGTTGGGATACATAAATACACCTTTAAATATAAATTAATTTTAATATATAAAAATAACTATCTTTGGTCAAAGGGGTATTTGAACTATGATATTGAAAATGTTACTATAAAAAAATTAAAATTAGCTTTTTATTAAAAAATAAATAATAATTCGTCCCCCTACACAGGACCCCTCTTGACATACTGTCACTAATTATAATCTCTATGCTAAAACAAAAAAATTAAAAAATAACTTTTTTTTTTTTTAATAATAAATTACAATCAACGCCTCTCACCACGAATCAGTCACACGACACTGCATGTAACTAAAACCACCATTTCAGTGCCCCCACGCCCCCATTTCTCTCATGTTCCAAGGGGCCTGTGCAAACTCAGTGTTCCACTCCATCGTACGCCCCTCTGTCACACTCGGTTGGCCCAGTTCGTGTAACACCCCAAACCCCTTTTCTTCCTGAATGCCCCCACTAAACAAAATCTAAAGACCCCGGCCACAGTTACAACGTAACGGTGATCCCAGACATCCCCGGGTAGCCCAGTAAATCCTCTCCAAAGGCGGTTGACACACCGCTAGCCGAACACCATGCTGCAAGCTCACTGAATGGGGCCCGTCAATAACTGAGGCCAAACAGACCAGTGAGCTGGGGTGACGTTCTTCTAAGCCAGTAATAGGACATTCGGTGGTCAGGCCCTAGCATAAGTGTCCCGAGGATTCGGGTATTTAATTTTGAACCCGAAACGTGTACCCTTCGGTGGTGGGTACCTCTGCTTGGGTGGTACAGCGAGGCGTCTGGTACATACTGTTACTAAAGCCCAGTAGACTGACCCTTCGGTGGTCGGTCCTACTGCTTAGGTGGTAAAGCGAGGCGCCTGGTCCAAACTGTTTACTAAACCCGTAGACGTGTACCCTTCGTGGTCAGGTCCCTACGCTTGTTGTACAGCGAGCGCTTTGGAACAATGTTACTAAAGCCAGTAGACGTGTACCCTTCGGTGGTCATACCTACGCTTAAGTGACCGTGAGCACCGGGCTCTTAGCTCTAAGGCCGGCTCAGCACCCCCCCACTTTGGGTTTGATCGCACCCAGTGGTACTGCCGGCCGGCAGGTTAACTTTTAACCGCTATTTGGCAGGGGCCGCAACACCCCCCCCCACAAAAAGGACGCACACAAAGTCAATTAATATGTACCCGAACCCTCACCCCGGGAAGATATCCAAAATCATTCTTGTAATCATTTTCCTCCCGGACAGGCCCTCAATATTACAAAAAAGAAATTTTTAAAAGAAGATGGACATTTTTCTTTTTTTGTAATAAAGTTCGGATACATAAATCAACATTAATATAAATTTTAAACTTTAAAAAAAAAAATATCTTTTTTCAGGGTATTTGAACTATGTATATTAATTTCTATAAAAAATTATAATTAGATTTTTTTAAAATAAAATAAAATTGTGACCCCACACAGGTACCACTCTTGACCTATGTCACTTTAATATATCTCATGCTAAAACAATAAAATTAAATAAAATTTTTAAAATAAAAATTACAATCAACGCCTCTCACACACGATCAGTCACACCACTGTTTTAGTGTACACTACAACCACCAACCAGTTCCCACGAACCCCCTTTTCATCCAGGTTCCACTTCTTGTGCATATCCATGTTCCCCCCATCGACTCCCCAGTGTCACACTACGGGCCGGCCCGTTCATGTAACACTCAACCTTTTCTTCATGTAATGTCCCCCCAAACGCATTGACACTCCCGCCCACAGTTGACAACTAGACGGGGAGTCCACAGACATCACCGGGGTTCCCTAAATCCTTCCAAAGCGGTTGACACACCGTAGCCGAACACCATCTGCAAGTCACTGAAAGCCCGTCAATAAGAGGCCAACAACTCATGACTGCGGTAGCGGTTCTTTTAAACCCTGAAGTACGATTCGGTGGTCGGTACCTACGAAAACGTGTACCCTGGGATTTCAGGTACTTAAGTTGAAGCCAGTAACGTGTACCCTTCGGGGTCAGGTACCTACTGCTTAGGTGTGTACACAGGCGCTTGGTAATACTGTTACTAAAGCCGTAGACGTGTACCCTCGTGGGGCAGGTACCTAAGCTTAGGTGTGACAGCGAGGGGCCTGGTACTACTGTTTACTAAAACAGTAGACTGTACCCCTTTGGGGGAGGGACCTACTCTTAGGTGTGTACACGAGGCCCTGGGACATACTGTTCTAAACCCCTAGGTTGTACCCTTCGGTGGTCAGGGACCTACGCTTAGTGTGACCGTGGGACTCAGGCTCTTACGCCTAAGGGGGGGCTCGCACCCCCCCATTGGGGGTTTTTGACGCACCCCGTGTACTGCCCGGGCCCGGAGGTTTAAAATATTTTAACCGCTAGTTTTGGGAGGGGGCCCCAAATTTCCCCCAACCATACCCCCCCTAATGACAAGAGCATAAATCTGTAGGGGAAGGGAAGGCAAGGAGGTCATCCCCAAAAAAGGGTTTGGGGGGGGGGTAAAAGGGGGTTTGTGGGCGAGGGGCTTGGATTTCCCCTTTAAAAAAGTGTGAGCATTTTAGATAGGGGTTTAAAGGGAAAAGAATGGTTTTTTGGGGCCGACGATTTTTGGAGGTGAGCATGTAAAAATTTTTTGAAGGGATTTAGGGAAACCGCTTAGCCGGGGCTTGATCCCGAAATGGTTTTTTCAATATCGAAAGATTGGGGGTTAGACACGTGCAACATCTGATATTTTTTAACAAAAAGAAAACCCAGAGTTGCACATGGTTTTCCCTCATGAATAGTTTGGTCCAAATTTTTTCCCCCCCCCTCTTTTCCTTTTTTATTTTTATTTTTAAATTTGAAAAAGGGGTAGATTTCATGTTATTGGTGTTTAAAATTGAGAATATTTGTGGGATTTACATTGTAAATTTTTTGGGATGGTTAATTGTGCCAATTTTTGCGGGGAATCAACCTTGCAGCCGCATTACCATAAGGGTACCTATCCCGACCATATAGATATCTTCCATCTGATACGTGAAATGCCAGCTTCGGACAAGACTGCACTTCAGTGTGTCAAGGAAGTAGATGAAGAAAGAATTCGCTTAGAAGCATTGGCAGAAGAATTGGCATCAAGTGAAGATGATGGTAAAAACTAAAGCTTGATGTTTTAATTAAATAGTACATTAAGGTAATACTGTAGGTATATTGTGATAGTGATAAATCTGTTAACACTTTAATTGTGGTAGACCCTGACACACTATTTTCCCTGTGTGGGGCAGAATTTAAAAAAAAAAAATTTTTTAGTTTCAAATTGTATATTTGTGTGGTTCGCTTCATCTCTCGTAGAACCATCTTATATGCTCTTGACAATTGATCTTTGTTGACTTAGCATATCTATTTTTTTTCTTGCAGAGACTCAGGAACAACTCATGGATATATATGATCGCTTGGAAGACTTAGGTGCTGACACAGCAGAGGCCAAAGCGGCATTTATTCTTCATGGTCTTGGCTTTACACATGCCATGATGGAGAAGAAATGCAAAGACTTTTCTGGTGGTTGGAGGATGAGAATTGCATTGGCAAGAGCACTCTTTGTCAAACCTCATCTGCTGCTGCTTGATGAACCCACCAACCATTTGGATTTAGATGCTTGTGTGTGGCTTGAGGAAGAATTAGCCAAGTATAAGCGAATCTTGGTCATCATCTCCCATTCACAGGTTATTGTTGGATTAAGGACTAGTAAATTATTGTATCTATGAATTATTTTAACTTTTTTTTTTTTTTTTTTTTTTGTTTAGTTAAAGAAGTCATATATTAAGGGATGGAAACAGTTTGGGGGAGTGAGATAGTAAAATGGTAGTAGATGGGTGTTGTGCACATAATTTTTAAAAGATCATGACCATGACAAACAGGCAGTGTACAGTTAGATATGTATCAAAAGCTTTGGACATACATATAATTTTGTATAAATTTAACACATGGGGCAACTTTTGGGTTTTACTTTATTGAGGAAACGTTTTGCCATACAGTGGCTTCATCAGTCCTATAAGGAAATAGTAAAAACAGGAAAGAATCAGGGTAAATCAGTCCCCCAACTTGAGTCTGTGGGCAGTCCATCAATCTTAAAAGAATACAGCATATGTGCCAAAAAGTCTTATATAAAATGTTTTTAAAAAAAATTCTGCTTACATTCTTCTTTTAAAAAACTGGCCTAAATTTCCCCCCGAGGGAGGGTGGCCCCAAAAAAACAACAAAAAATTTTCTTTAAATTGTAATTTATACAGGAAGGGTTACAAGCCCTTGCTCCCAATTTTTGTCACCTCTTACGACACTCCTGGCTTTTTCGAGGGAAATTTTTTTCCACTTCCCCATGGAGATTAGGGAAATAACTCTATACCTAGTAAGAAAAAAAGAAGAAAAACCCCGAGGTTTTTGGGGTTTTTTTGGAGGGGTAATTTTTTTCTTTATATGTAATACTTCTAAAGTTGTTCCTGGGGACCTCTGCAAAAACATGTTTGTGTGAGTGTGGGTGAAAGAGTTGGATGATTTTTTTTTTTTTTTACCCCGGCTTTGGGGAGGCCCACTTGTTTAAAAAAAATTTAAAAATTTTAACATGGCTCAACTGAACAGGTTCTTTATATATAATTATCAAATTTTTTTTTTTAAACTTGTTTACCATTTCATGGTGGTTACCATAGTCCAATTTCTCTAACCCTTAACACAGATTTTTAAAGCCATATTTGTCTTAATACAACACACTGTTTTTGGGATGGGAAAGTAAAATTTTTTTTTTTTTTTTTTTTTTTTTTTTTGTTTT